CCCCTCCGCCCCCCTCCCCGCTCACGCTTGCTCTCATCCCCAAAGTCAATTTGTTTACAGTAATTTTGAAGGGTGAATTATTTGCTGTAATCGTCCGCGCTGATGAAGGTCAGGCCCTCAGAGGGGGGCCCGGCGTGCCCGCCGAGGGTTGGTCCTCTTTCAGACGCCGCGCTTCGCAATTAAGGAAAGCAAATGTCACTCCTCCAGGCCTCACAAATGAAAATCTGTACGAGGTGATTAGCATGAAGTCAACAGCGCCTGTTAAAGTCAGATTCCCTGTAGTACCCATGTGTGTGCGTGCACTTTATGGGCCGGGAGAGACGGCAAACATGACCCGAACAGGCCCAACAGCAAGGCAAACAAAGGGAGATGTCTTGTCGGAGGTGATCCATACAACAAGGGGCCGACTGTGATTTACTCACCGGATGGAAAGGATAATAGGGGTTTAGAAGGCCGGGAAGGGAAAAAGAACCCGGCCGCCGCCGCTGCCGCGGTGAGGCAAAAGCAGGCGCAATTCATTGTATATTCAAAGATATTGATGGAAATAGATTAAATTTGATGTGGCTGCTTTATGGATAGCTGTCACGCCGTTTCTGCGGTAAACACGGCGTTGTGCCGAGCGCCATATTAAGGTAATGCATCAAATGACAGCGGATGTGAGGCGCCAGATCACTCAAATTAGATTATAATAACAACTCCGACGGCTGATGTATGGCGGAGCGGCGTCGCTCGCGCGAGTCACGCCAGATGAAAAGCATTGTAATCATAAACAATATGAAATGGATTGAATCGATCACCAAAACAAAGGGCGGGGAGGGGAAGGGCGGGGCGGGGCGCGGGAGCCTCGGCGTGAATCATTCATGAGGCGCGTTCGGCGTTATGAAACCCGAAAACCGCTCCGACGGCGCCCCGCCACTGTACCGCGCACGCGTGAACAAAAGGTAATGAAACGACGTGAAGCAGCAAAGCTTGAGCTTGTCATTTCCACTTTCACGGCGCTCTCTTCGTGACTAATTCACGACGCGCCTCCGACTTTGAAATCTTACTGTAACGCGCGGGCGCGCGCGCCTAATCAATTGCGATGGCTACATTGGCCCTGACACGTCATTTGCAACATCAAATCATTTTCCTGCCGAGCTCGGGCGTTTAGCCTTTGTGAAGTGAACCATTTGAAGGGTCTGCTTAACTACACCACTCCGGCGCGCTGATAAATGATTTGGATTCTCGCGCCTTAAAGGACAAATCCATCATTCTTCTCGCTGCCCTCACCAGGTTTGCGTGTGGGGGGGGGGGAGGCAATCTCCATGATATGTCTTTTTGAGGGCGAGCACGCGGAGGTGATGCGCCAACGTGTCTGTGTGGAACGGGGAAGGGGAGAGACAGGCCAAAGCCCGGGTGCTGAATTGGCTCTTTCTCTTTTGTCTTGGATAAGCAGCCACCCCGTGCATCAAGGCTATCAGCCCCAGCGAGGGATGGACCACTGGAGGGGCCACTGTCATCATCATAGGGGACAACTTCTTCGACGGCCTACAAGTGGTCTTCGGCACCATGCTCGTATGGAGTGAGGTGCGACGTGGCGGAACTCGAAAAGGAGGCACTTGGTTGACTCTCCCGTGTGAATGCAGCGGGCTCATTATTTCTTCTCCCCCCCCTGCTCTCTAATCCAGCTGATAACTCCCCACGCTATCCGGTGGGGGGAAGTGGGGGGCGGGGCGCGGGAGCCTCGGCGTGAATCATTCATGAGGCGCGTTCGGCGTTATGAAACCCGAAAACCGCTCCGACGGCGCCCCGCCACTGTACCGCGCACGCGTGAACAAAAGGTAATGAAACGACGTGAAGCAGCAAAGCTTGAGCTTGTCATTTCCACTTTCACGGCGCTCTCTTCGTGACTAATTCACGACGCGCCTCCGACTTTGAAATCTTACTGTAACGCGCGGGTGCGCGCCTAATCAATTGCGATGGCTACATTGGCCCTGACACGTCATTTGCAACATCAAATCATTTTCCTGCCGAGCTCGGGCGTTTAGCCTTTGTGAAGTGAACCATTTGAAGGGTCTGCTTAACTACACCACTCCGGCGCGCTGATAAATGATTTGGATTCTCGCGCCTTAAAGGACAAATCCATCATTCTTCTCGCTGCCCTCACCAGGTTTGCGTGTGGGGGGGGAGGCAATCTCCATGATATGTCTTTTTGAGGGCGAGCACGCGGAGGTGATGCGCCAACGTGTCTGTGTGGAACGGGGAAGGGGAGAGACAGGCCAAAGCCCGGGTGCTGAATTGGCTCTTTCTCTTTTGTCTTGGATAAGCAGCCACCCCGTGCATCAAGGCTATCAGCCCCAGCGAGGGATGGACCACTGGAGGGGCCACTGTCATCATCATAGGGGACAACTTCTTCGACGGCCTACAAGTGGTCTTCGGCACCATGCTCGTATGGAGTGAGGTGCGACGTGGCGGAACTCGAAAAGGAGGCACTTGGTTGACTCTCCCGTGTGAATGCAGCGGGCTCATTATTTCTTCTCCCCCCCCTGCTCTCTAATCCAGCTGATAACTCCCCACGCTATCCGCGTCCAGACTCCGCCTCGGCACATCCCCGGCGTGGTGGAAGTCACGCTGTCCTACAAGTCCAAGCAGTTCTGCAAAGGTGCACCCGGGAGATTTGTGTACACTGGTGAGTCCAAAACCTCTTGTTCTCTTCGAGTCGGTCGTCTCGTCTTCCGCCCCCGTCGTAGTACGGAAAACCCTTCGGCCCAGCGCGAAGGAAGGAACCAAGGTCTTGCGCCGGCTGAATGTAAAATGTGCAAGATCCGCACTGTTTTTAAAGTCAAAGGCTGTTTGACGGAGGGGCTTGGAGCGGCGCAACCCGATCCCCACTCTGACCTTGTGGCGTACAAGGTCGCTGCCGAGCGCTGTTAAAGTCAAGCTGTCAGGATGACTCATTCGGCCGATTGTCTTTATCTGGATTGATACGAGACAGATCGAGCTTTGTGCTTGCTAATTGTGCCGATTTTGCAAAAGGGGAGTGGGCGGAGGGGAGGTGATGTTTTTGCTGTTACTTCGTTAGGAGGATTACACTAAAGCTACCGTAAAACCTTGCGGACGGCTGGGGAACGGGCCGAATAAGCTGCCATTAAATTTTTGGTGCAGATGAGGATAAAGGTGCGGATCCGAGGATTCGTCGCACTTTATCGAGGGCCGATCTAGTTACCTCTGCCAAGGAGGTTCATGTTTTCATTGCCGCTTGTTTGTTTGCGAGCAGGATTTGGGCAGGAAGTGCTTCATGCAACAAGAAGATGTCATTTTTATTCCCCACCTCACCTTTGTTCACTTTTTGTTGGGGAAATATTAACGACAACATTCGAGCATCTGCAGCAAATGGGTCGAAAATAATGTTTTTTTTTTGGGGGGGGTGGGTGGGGGCTGATCCAAATTATGATAATTGCTCCCTTGGCAGAAGTCTTCATAAGCCATTCTAGTTTGAAGAAATGAGACTGGTAATGCGATCCTTTGGTGAGGTTCGATGAGAGCGCTGCGAAAAGGCTACGTGACAAGACATACGTGCAATAAAGGTGCGCGCCTCGTGTGAGCGTGTCACACACACACCAAAAATAAAAAAGTCAGGGGATGTGATTATCTTGGCTAACAGAAGGAAGTGGTGGTCTTATCTGTCATCATTGCTGAGGAGACAGAGGTCGCGGGGGGTCACAGCCCGTCTGACCTGGAAGCCTCTGTCTGTTACGGCTCTGATGGACAGAATGAAACAGGAGTGCGTCAAGGCACTCTCACTTGAACCCCCCCCACACCCACCAAAATACTTCCCCACCCCGATCACTGCCAGCACCCCCCAGGCCTCAGGCGCAGCCCTGGCCTTGAGCGCAGCAGAATTGCAAAGTGGGGGCTGCCACCCCCTCACCCAGATCCCTCCATCCTGGGGCAGCTGTTTCTCATCAAGACCTTTCCCTCCCTCTTCTTGCTCCCCGGGACCCCCTCGCAACCCCCCCCCCCCCCCTTGCAACCTCCTTCAACCATGCGTCCCCTTCTCCTCCAACCGTGCAGTCTGGCCCAGCTCTCCTGCATTTAACCTCCCTAGCAGGAGCGGAGCAAAGGCCAACAAGGCACCGGCATAATGAAACAGGAGTGTAGTGTGCCCGCCATCGTGCCTGTTTGGCTGGGAGTGCGCACGTGTGTGCGTGCGTGTGTGTGTGTGTGCATACATGTGTTAGCGCACAGCCTTGAGAAGGTGTATAAGTTAAGACATTAATGGCTTCTATAGCGCCCCGGTGAAAGTGGCAGGTCCCTAAAGAACAGACCCCATTAGTCACAGAGGCTAAGCGGATTGGGATGATTACCATCAGGTTTTACCGCGGAAACGTGTGTCCCCCTTTCTCTATCTTTGTTGATTTTCTTCTCTCCTCTCCGCAATTCTGACTCCATCTTCCTTCAGTACTTACTCACTTCCAGTTAGTGTAAGGATACAATTGCCCCTGGAGGCAATGGTGGTACAATTGATTAGTGAATTAAAAGAGAAAGTCGCCAATGAACAGGGTCGGTCGGGGCTCCTCTGCTTCTCCGCTCGCTCGTGTGGCTCACAAGGATTGACACTTGTGAACGACTGCTTGTTTTTTTTTTTTTTTTTTTTTTTTTTTTAGACTGCGCTAATTGTTGGGCTGGGGCATTAAAA